AATGTTAGGAGTTAGAGGGTCAACCCAAGAGGGAATGCATACTATATTTTCGATACACTCTATCATGACTTGCATAGCATCTCTGTCTGATAGTACAAAGTATTATGGATTCACAAGTTTTGTTTAATTGTGTGAGTACATAATAGGAAAAATGTTAGGTAAATCAAAATTATCCGGTAAATCTCTGGGTGATTTCCATTATGTCTTTGCAATACTTAGATCCTCTAGAGAAGCCATTCCTTGATATTTTGATGATTGTTTCAATAACATACATTTTTTGTGTGACTTCCATGCCAATGGGAAATGATGATCCAGGAACTATGGAACTATTCATCAGTCCAATATAGATTGGATTGAAGCTCACCATAATCAACAATGGGGCTTCTTGCCATCAGTGCCATATTTCCTGCCCCCAAGGAGCTTATGGGGCTGGGGGAGGCAGATATATGCCTGTAGCTCAAAACCAAATGTAAATATTTGAGCACATAGAGAAGGATGAGTTTACTTCTCATCAGGAGAATAATGGACACCTCACACTGAAGTCAGCATTTACACCAAGATTTGAAAGAGGAATCTATTCTTACAAGCCAGGACTGTGCCTAATTTGTAGTAGGTGCTTCACAAATGTGTGTTGGCAGTCTGAGAGAAGACAGTGGTGTTCTAGGAGGATGGAAAGAGTGAGAAGCAGTAGAACAAGGAGAGCAAGGCTCATTTAGGGATGCAGTGAGTCATGTTCTGGGCCCAAAGCTGAAGCCTGGGGAGTCTGAGCCAGTAACTGGGATGGCTCTGGTTGGTTGGTTGGAGGCTGAGTATGGAAGTCCTTGGGTTGAGCTGAGGATTTTAGACTTTAGTCAGAAGGCAATGGGAGTTCCTGAATGTGTTGGAGCAGGTCTGGGTTGGGCTTCAGTGAGGTTAGGCTGCATTGGTGAGAGGGCTGTGTTGGAGTGGAAAAAGCTGGGAGCAGGGGAATCCTTATGAGGATTTTGTTTTGTTGCATGGATTACGTGAGATCAGATGTGTCCAATGTTTAGTGTAGCACTGGACCACAGAAAGCCCTCAAATGGACAGTCAATATCAGAAGATTCTACCTCATTGTAACTATTTGGGCATCACTGGTCAGGTTGGGAGGGTGTCTCCCTGTGAGTATTCTACCTTTCCTAAGCCCTTGCCAGTTTATCTTCTAGCTGACCACCTACCTCATGATAAAGAAACACAAACGTTCCCCCAAGGCATGACTTTCGGTCTGATTCCTGATATTCTCCTGCATCAAATCCTGCCTTTTTTGACAAACTGGCATAGGAGAAATATCAGCAGGTGGCAAAGGTGCAAGCAGTTCCATTTAGGATTCATTCATTAGGTATACCCTGTAAAGACCTGGAATACAAAATAAGACTTGAACTCTGTTCTCAGATGCTTTGCATGGGGGGAGGGAGGCACAGACATCTATATAGAAAATCACAGATCAGTGAAGCTGGTGATAAAGAGGGGTGGATGCAGTGCTATGCGAACAGCCCAGGCTATGTTTGAGCTGAGTCAAGATGCAGGAGTCCATTTGGCAGACAAAGTAGGGAGGTATTCTGGCCAGAAGAAGGATTGGTGATCTGGGGAGTGTGGTATGTTGGGGAAACCCCAAGTAGCTCAGTAAAACCAGACTGTAGAGTTTCTCATCAAGAAGACATGAGATAACAAGTATTGGCGAGGATGTGGAAAAAGGTGAACTCTGTACACTGTTGGTTGGGAATGTAGATTGATTTAGCCACTATGGAAAACAATATGGAAGTTCCTCAAAAAATTAGAAATAGAACTACCATATGATCCAGCAGCCCCACTTCTACGTATACACCCAAAGGAAATAAAAACAGGATTTTGAAGAGATATCTGCTCTCCCATGTTTATTGCAGCATTATTCACAATAGCCAAGATATGGAAATAACCTAAGTGCCCATCAACAGATGAGTGGATAAAGTGTGGTATACAATATACAATGGATTATTATTCAGCCATGAAAAAGAAGGAAATCTTGCCATTTTTGACAATGTGGATAGACTTTGAGGACATTATGCTAAGTAAGAAAAGTCAGAGAGACAGATACTATAGGGTATCACTTACATGTAGAATCTAAAAAAGCCAGAATGGTAAAAAACAGAGAGTAAGGTTGTGGTTGCTAGGGAGCAGGGAATGGGAGAATAGGAGAGATGTTTCAGGGTATAAATTGCAACTAGCCGATAAATAAGTCTTGGAGATTTAATGCACAGTATGGTGAGGATAAACAACAATATTGTATTATAATAATCAAACTTGCTAAGAGACTAGATACTAATTATTCCTACCACAAAAAAGAAATAATTATGTGATAGAGGTGCTAACTATTGCTCAATGGCAGTCGTATTATAGTATATAAGTGTATCAGATCAAGGTGTTGTACATCTTGAATTTATACAATGTTATATGTCAAATACATTTCAATAAAAAATAGAAGAAACTATACTAATCCTAAAAAAAAAAAAGAGATTGTGGGGTTTCTAATGGGGCATTTGCGTGTTGTAAAGGTGAAGTGTAAAGGTAAAGTGTAAAAGTAAAGGTGTAATAATGGAAAAATGGAAAAAAGGCACTGGGGCAGGTAAACTGGGAAAGCTTTTAATGTGTTATCCAGGTGCTCTTCAAATCACTTCCAAAGCATTACCATTTTCTCCTACAATGAGTCCTTAATATCAAGCTATGTATTATATTTCTTGTTATGAAACTAAAATGAAAAATGAACAACTTCTTTTATTTTACCAGATTTATATTCAATTTTCTTTTATCCCTTTTTTACTCTGGAGAGGGGTATTTAGTGTCAAACAGTTTCTGGCGTCATCAGCCCGGGGCATCACCTACAGCCCCATCTCCTCTCATTGGCAGAGCTTTAACAGATGGGCTGTAAACAGCTGTCCCGAGTGAACCTGGGCAGCCTGTCCCCACAGCTACCTGAGGGGCTCAGTGGGTCCAGGTCCTCCTAATATGTGCTCCCAGCACTACTGCAGAGTGATGGTGGGAGGTGGCCCCCGCACGGCCATCTGAGAAGTGCTTGCAGAGTGTAGTGGGGGGGGGGTGCATATGCTGACATCCACACCCTGCTGGCTTCTAGAACTGCCCTAGTGACTGTGGGACAGGATGGCCCTGTCCTGGGACCATTTGCAAGTGCCTTGGGTCCAACACTAGGTCTTGGTACCATCTGGGTCTAGGGGTAGTTCTTTGTTTTGTTTGTTTGATTCTTCATCTTGCATATATTCCTTCCCATTTCTGCTAAATGCCAAAGGACTAACGTGGGAATCTCAGATGTTATTTCCTCTGCCAAGTGAATGAACAGTTCAGCTTTTTCCTCACGGTGTCCAAGCGCCACGGGATGTGAACTGCTGACCCTCTAGTATCATTTCTCTCTCTCTCCCAAATTCAAACCCTTTTCTTTTTTCTGGTCAGGCAGTGTCTGATGTCTCATTTCCAATTGCACTCCTTCAAGTCTGTGGCTCTTGCATCTGCCTGTGATGGCCCCCTGCACCTCATCACGCACCCCATCACAGTCTGCTCATTCTTTGGGCCCGGGCTCAGGCTCCAACCTCTGTGAATGCCCTCCTGGCTTTTTGTGCCTTCGCATCTTTTCAGAGATCTGAATTGGGCTCCCCAAGAACATTTAAGGGTCTGAGAACTCAGATGGGAACCTCACTGTTAATTCATGCCCAGGAACATACTGAGTTCCCAAACTGCTCTATCAGCTTCCAAACGGTGGGAGCTTTGTTATTTCTTGTCTTCTTAGAGACAGCTGCATAGGACTGGCCGTAGGAATGGTAGTCACCTAGGATGGCTTAACAGCGGGCTGATTTTTTTTTGTTCTGTTTTGTTAATTTTTTTTTGTCTCATTCCAAATAAGCATTTGGGTGCAGAGAATCAAATATGAAATCCCAGCCTTTGAGCTCAAGGGGAGCTGGACAGGCATTTGCTACATTCTGACCTCCAGGCAGGGGTGTGTTCAACCCTCTAGGCAGATCCCTACCCTCCCCTTCCTGGCAGCCTTCCTCGGCTGCCCTGTCTCTGAAATTGTATTTGGCAGAACTCAAGAGGTTTTTCTGTATGTCTGACCAAAACCTCTATCCCGGAGGGCCCAGTGTGCAGTCAGCTCTGTGCTAGGTTCTGACCCGGGGTGGGGAGGGGGGAAGGGGAAGACGGGAGAAACAGAAGACTTGGACCCTGCCTTTGGAATCTTGGGATATAGCTTCCAACCCCAGAACAGTGCCAGGGGGAAGTTCGGACAGGCAGGGAGGCCGGGAGTGCCGTTCCAGATGTGGGAGAGGAGACTGTTTCCTTTTGACTCTAGCACAAATCCTTTGTGATCTCTTCTCTCTGGATCTCTGTTTTCTCCTGTCAAATGGACGTAACCAACTGCTCACTGGCGCACGGGATTGCAGGTCGGTGACTTGAGGCAATGTGAGGGGAGACGTGCTTCTGGATATAAGGGCGGCATCCTTGTGAGGGGTAGGCCCCCTGCTCACCCTATGAGTGAGTCAGTGCTGCTTCATCAAATTTAAACTTAACTTATCACCAGCTTTACTCTTCCAGTTTTCATCGATTGTGTGATGAGTGGGTTGTATTCTTTTTTTAATTTTTTTTTTAAAGATTTTATTCATTATTTGACAGAGAGAGAGAGCACAAGCACAAGCAGGGGAAGCAGCAGGCAGACAGAGAGGGAGAAGGGAGCCTGATGCCGGGCTCGATCCCAGGAACCCGGGATCATGACCTGAGCCGAAGGCAGCCGCTTAACCGACTGAGCCACCCAGGGCCCCTATTTTTGAGGCTTCTGAAAAAAAATCATGGGGTAGTTATATGGTTAGGATATTGTTATAAGGTAGGACTGTACCAGTTCATCCCGGCAGGACCCCTTCCCAGAGCGCATGCGTGTGTGTGTGCGCCCGTGCGCCCATGCTTGAGTGCGTGTGCGTGCGTACGTGCCTGCGTGCGCGTGTGCGCCGGGGAAGTCACATTGCAGGGTCTTCTGGCTGAAGAGGCGTCGGGAATGGTTGAGAAACATCAGTTACGAGGTTGGTGGCTTTTGGTCCATCACTTTTAAAACCAGCTATGAATAAGGCAGAACTTAGAGGGAGGTGCCCTAGAGGACCTGGAAGTCTAAACCCGGGGAAGGTGTGATTTGGGAAGTTCGTGTTTGTTCGTAAGCATCACATTGGCATAGGTAGAGCTGCTTTCTCCAGCTGCGGAAAGAAAAGCTGTTCTCGGGCCTGGAGGGCAGGAAGTGGACCCTGCGAAAGGGCTTGCGTTTGGAATCCAGTCCGTTTGGAATCAGATCAAGGATGCCTTTGGATAATGGAATTTGAGGCGCAAGCCTGCTCTTTTCTGTTTTACTGGGATTCTTAAGATCAGAGTATGAACTTTGGAAACTTGACTGTTTTTGCTTGCTTGCTTGCTTAATTAATTAAGTGCTCTGGCCTGCAGACAGACTTATAATTTTAATTAGTTGCTTATGATTTAGAAAGAGACTTCAGGGCGCCTGGGTGGCTCAGTTGGTTAAGAGACTGCCTTCGGCTCATGTCATGATCCTGGAGTCCCTGGATCGAGTCCCGCATCGGGCTCCCTGCTCAGCGGGGAGTCTGTTCCCCCC